ATTCGCGAAAAGTGTATATATATATATATATATATATATATATATATATATATACGTACTTAAAAAAAATTATTATAATTGAGAAAAAAATATCAGATGAAGGGAGGAGTATAAAGAAAGTTTTAGTTTGGAATAATAACAACTTCTCTATTTAAAGATATAACTTTTAACTACAAATATTATTAATATTACACATTTTTTGACTTTATTACAGAAATCATTAAAAATGTATACGTAACAATGAAAAGAAGAGTAGTAGAAAAAAAATCAGTTCATGATAATTAAAAAGTAGCTTCTTTGTTTAAATAAATAACTCAGCCACGTATATATCTTAGACTCGATTCCTCCAACCGTTACTTCGACTTTAAGCGAGATTTAAAACTCTATTTGTCTTGTTTTAAAAGAAAGGGAAAGAGAGGATTAGCAGAGATAGAGAGAATTTTAAGCCTCGCTTAAATTAAGTCAACATAACGTTGGTGCAACCGGGCCTTATTACACATAATTTTTTAATTTTATTATAAAAATTATAAAATGAGGAGAGAGAGAAAGAGAGAGAGAGAGAGAGAGAGAGAGAGAGAGAGACGTATTATTATCGAGAACAGTTCAAGAAGGAATCTGTTCGAACCAGGAAGTGCAGCTAATAAGCTGCACAGATCATAGATGGTACCAACGTCTCAGTTTTGCTTGATGCATGGTTATCACAAATTATCAAATATATTTATATGTATATAATCGTATCATTGCTTGAAGCATTTATGATTACTGTACAATAGATTGCGAGATATAGGTTTTTCGAATTTAATGTGCGAGTGAATTTCTGCCGGAAACTCGCGAAACATGACGAGTGCCGTAATAACAGATGTACAGCAACCCGATTATCCCAAGTATCAAAGACAGGTTAGGATTCTTGTGTTTAATGTGCAAGATTTATTACAGTCAAAAAACATAGATATATATATATATATATATATATTGCATAATTTATTGACTAAGATTAAAAGGCAAGGCGATAATTTTTTTATTATTTTACGTATATTTTATTTATTCGTAAATGTATGTTTATCTCAAATCTAATCATACCAATTGCAGGGAGGACTGGAGTTGACTCCAGAGGAGATAAACGCCTTACGTCAATGTATGAAAAACTCGAGTATTCTTGCGCCGTCAATCATCTCTGCAGCCATAGGATATGGGATATGTAAGATAACTCCATTTCGCGCAAATGCCAAATATGTCGCCATAGTCAGTGGCGTGGTAGGTCTGATAACAGGTAGAATAAGCGCTGCCAAATCGTGTCTGACAAAAGTCGCTTCCATGCCGAATAGTACTCTTCGAGACAGAATGATGGAATCGGGTTATTTTGGAAATGTTGCTCCTCAGAGGTATTACTTTTGAGTAACGTGGTTGTCCGCGTTTGTTTACGTTTTTTGTTAAAGCTGGGTTTTATGCATCTTTATTTATAGAGAGACATTATATTATCGAGGTTCTCAATCATACGATACATATTCCAGTATCAATCCAGATAACAGTGAGTTGTTAAAAATGATTGTTAAATTTTCTACACACCTATTACTACATGATGATAACTGTATAAATTATGTTTGAAGGTGATTTCAATGTCTCCGAGGATACGGATTTGTCCGAACCGATAAATATACAAAAAGGGGTCAGTTACGAAGAATTGAGGCATCAAAATAGAGATGAGTTCTATAAGAAACATAAACAGTGGTATACTCCCAAAACAAGAGAATTTCCAGTGAAAGAGACAAGCGAACAGGTTCCCACAACCAGTACCAGTAACCGATCACCAATGCAAGAGAAAACTAAATACGGTGACGTGTGGGATTGAAATTTAATTTCGTTGGAGGATAGAGTTTGATGATCTTCGCGTATTATGAATATTATATGTATATATATCAATAGATGGCACTGCAAATGTGATAAGAGAGTTCGAATTTTACTAAAAATATGAATAAAATAAACGATAAATAAATCACGTTTGCAGTAATTATATCAACAATACAATTGAATTCTGTGCGACAAAATACCGCATTCTTACTGTCTAAACGTGTTGAATGATTCACGAGCTTAAATGGAAACGCGAGATGTAACTCGTGTTCTACCACTCATAATTGAGTCACAATCTCGCGAGATAGCGGTGAGACACAAACGGCTATGAGGCGGCTAATTGATAGATGACGCCAGGCCATAAATGCGCGTAAATGCAGTTCGCTCTCTCGCTCTCTCACTCGCAAAGTAATGCGATGTAATGTAACGCTAGGTAATATAGCGAGCTCTCGTCCCCGTCATCCCGACTATGGTGTCATCCCCGCCGTGTATTGTCACCTTGACGTACCCAGGATAGAAACCTCGCTCACTTCCCTGTCATAAGAGCCGTCGCCGCGCGCGCTCGTTCCCTATATTTTCCATAAGTTAACGGCAATAATTGCCGTTCGGTATTTGTCGTACGACTCGCGCGTCTCGATTTGCATCGACTCCACCAGCGAGTCGTTACATTTTCCTCGCGCATTGCTCGCGAGTCGCGAGTGCGATTATCTCCGCCACCCTCTTGTCATCGAGCGACTTAATCGCCGTCCCGGAGAAATTGGAATTACCGTTCTTGCCTTCGGATCGAGTTGAGAGTCATAACGCCTTTCGCGCCTTTTCATGCGCAACCAACACTTTGTTCTCGACTTTGTTATCTATCCGATTTCTACGATAAGCGTGATTCTCATTTGACTCGTGTGAAATCCTCGCTTTAGAGAGAGTCTTACGATAAAGGAAAAAACGACGATAGTAATTATTTACGTAATTATAAGATAAAATATAGATAAACGCGGCGAGGCAATAATATAAGCCATAATATAAGCGCTCCGCGTTTCCCAGCCGTTTAAAGGTTTCGGAGTTTGAGTTACGATTTAAAGCGATTTCGCACGATTAGTAATTTTTCCAGAAAAGTCAGTAGCATGGCACGGTATTAATAGGATCCGGTTGATTTACTTCGGTATCTCTTCTCGATCTTCTCGTCGTCGCTCGCTGTATTCTCGACGTATACAGGTATGTATGTGTACCTACATACATAGAGTATGCTGGAATATGCACATACACTTATTACACGATCGTTTCGCTTTACTTGCCCGCGCGCGCCGTGCTTGCGAATGCGAGTCGACCGCCATTGGCTATCGGGCGCGACCAATGGGCGAGTACTACTCCCATTCATAAGTCGCGTCGCTTCCGCGGGGGACGTAGGTGGGGGAGAGTGGCGGCTGCGGCGCGCGAGCGGTATCCCTGCCGCTGCGTCTCGCGGCTCGCGGCTAAATTCTCACCGGTCAGCCGCCCTCGTCATTCGCTCGTCATTCGTTCGCTCGCGCGCGCTCGCTCGCTGTCCCGTATTCAGTATTGTTCCGAGTTCCGAGAGTGTCCCGCGAGGTTTCCCTCAAATAGAACGCACAAGTCGTAATATCTTGGAGACATCCCAAGCAGAACAAGTCATTATGATGTCAAAATAACTCCAAAATGATAATTAAAAGTCCATTTCCGATTCATTTTAATATCATTTTAACATTATCGTGAACTTGTTGTTCTGCTTGGGACCATTATGACTTTATTTGTCACTTATAAGTTCATTTTCAAGTATCAAATGACATCATGATGACATCCTATGATATTATGACTTAATTATGACTCTGTGTTCTACCTATGTGGGCCTTGAGCCGGGTCATTTTTAATTCTGAACTCGATGACATGTTCCGCTGTCATTGCGTTTTATCACGCAAACTTGTCATTCTCTCAGTCTATAAGTAAATAGCCTTTCGCATTAATTTTCTCTAAATTACGGTAATTTAATTTTCTCCCGCGACTATCTGCCTCATAATTATTCCATTACTTTGCCAACGGCGCGTACCGTGAAGTAATTATAGTAAACTAAGGAAAAACGGAAATATTAAGTGTTCATTATCAGTCACAAGCAATATATCGCGAGTCATATGTTTTCTTTATCGTCGTTACGAGTTAATCTCAAATTTGGAAAGCAAATTTGCGAGCGTTTGCGATCACGTCGTGAGATCGGTTTAATAATATCATTGATATCGCACAGCGTCATTAAGAGACGAGAGAGAGGAGAAAAGGATTTCCGAAACTCGTAAGTTATATACTCGCCGCTCATTATCTCTCTCGAATTAATCCACTTCTCAGAAAACGTCTCCCTCGGTCGACGTACATAAGGAATGTAATTCGCGCTGTATTGCGTACATTTCGGAGGGATTACTTCTGGATCCCAGGAAACTCGTCGGAATTTCGAGCGTTGCACGTATATACGTGTATATATATATATATATATATACACACAACGTCGCGCGCGTCACGATTCACGTGCCTGGTTAAACGATCACGTGTAGAAAGGGGAGTCACGCAGGTGCAGGTCATGTGAAATATTTGCACTTTGTCGTAATTTGCGTAACCCATTGCATATATAATAAATCCGCGCGGCGCGGAGTTAAAGCGCCGCGATAGAAAATCGTTTCACAATCTAAAGAGAAAGGGAACCTTTCTGCCTCGTCGCGGTCGCGGAGGAAGAGGGAGAGGCGAGGAGAGGAGAGGAGAGGAGAGGAGAGGCGCGCTGCAGGGCGGGTGGGGGATGGGGAGAGAGAGAGAGAGAGAGAGAGAGAGAAAGAGCGGAGATGCATGCGTCCGCTTCTCCATCTCCCGTGTATTATATTATGCGATGCGATCGCATTATGGACGCGCGAGGATATATCGCGACTCGCGAGAAGCGCGTCGCATTCTCGACTAATCGAAGTCGCGGCGATTTGCGGAATACGATTAACGCTCGCTAACTTTGTTGTTGCTACTTTGTAATTCGATCTCTCGGTATCCCCCGCCGTCATCGTAGGTACAGATTCATCACAAGACCCGTTTTCAGATTTAATGATCGATTTGTTCACCCATAGGCGTAAGGATTTTGTTAAGGGTGGATTTAAATTAGAGTTGAGATTTTTGAACCCGAGGGGGAAGGAAGAAGATGATCGAATGATATGAATTGTTAGATTCGTTTTGTTTTTTTTTATTATTGATTTTCTGCCCCTCTTTGACTACGCCCATGTGTTCACCATTGTTGTTCATCATCGTTGTTACAATGCAACTGTCGATGAAGCACATTGTTATATCTGTGGTGAAGTTAAAAAGATTACGTGCGTTTGTAACGTTCTAATTAATGTTCGTTTCTGTCAATATTGATTAACTTTAATCTTGATTTAATTTCCTCCTTAGCTTTTCTTCAATTTTTACATGAAAAAAAATACTAGGACATCAAACAGGCTCCAAGGAGTAAATCAAATGATACAAAAATGCAGCCAAATGTGAATCAACACAAAATCTTCGTATGATTAAAATTCAATACATTCAAAATCAGTTTACAGATGTTTCAATCTCAAGAATTGATCCTCTTCAGTGTACAACAAATGTAGTCAATAAATTATGGGTTGATATTAATATTGTAATTAAAGAATATCATTAATCTATTATTCAGTATATATTCTTATGAAAAAAAATCATGATTAAATTAACAAGATATGTTAAGTAAACTTTGATAGAAGTAAATAGAATTTTTAATTATTATAATTAAATATTTTGGAATACGCACAACCAAAACATGTAGATATGATACCGGTTAGAGTTTCATTAGTGCGTAATAATAATATCTATAAGCAGGTTATTATGACTACAAAAGAAAAAGAGCATGATCGGATTAACGTGACGTAAACCGGTTAAAGAAATATAGACCTAAACAGATTTTCTACTTATCATAATTAAATAATCTGCTATTTTTCAATCGAAAGTATTTTCATTAAAATTTATGCAACCAAATATGTCTGATTACCATAATCAGAATATACGCACTCAAAATTTGTTTATTTTAACATTTGTTAAAATATGTATTCGTTCAATTTCAGGTTCAACCAACTTTTTTCAGTACAGGATTAAAAAAAGGATAAAAACTCAATTAAATCGGGATTAAAGTTAAACGAAGCACAAATATGTAAGAAAACATGCGAAAAAAGAAAGAAAAACGTGAGGATTACGCGTATCGTAATGAAAATATCAAAATGCATATCGATATCTTCATCAAGCTCTTAATTGCTTGTGAATCCTTTCGCGTTTCAGGTTGAAAACAGCACACGATCAATTTGTCCATGCGAAAATTTCCAGTACAGCCTTCCAATTTCATTGGGAGAAAGTTGGGTGCGTGATCAAACTTGTTATACGTATTACTTTATAACGGTATAATAAATGGCTCAAAACGCAAAATTATGCACCAATCGCGACCCTGCAGAGCTCTGCCTAATAGTTTAGCATCGCAATCATTTTGCAGGAAATACATGAAATTAAGATAAACACAGCTACGTGATGTCAAATAAATAAAAATAAAAATACAATCTTGAATGTTTTAACCAACAATCGTGATTTATAGGCCACAGGATGTGACGCCTCGAGTACGCTTGAAACTGGTGCAGCTTTACGTGTCAAGGCATTTGCGACGGTTAGTTACATCATGTGGTATTGTTTCAAAATTAATTATTACGCCATTTTCAAACCGGTCGTTATTTCGCGCCGGCAGGGTGAGTCGCGCGCGTGACGTCAGTCACGTGACGTGGCGCGCGTGTCGCGATTCGTTCTCCTATGAATTCAAAATTCGCCGCGTCTCCGTCGCGATCTCGTCGACGTCGCGGTACGATGGGGATTTAGACGGTGGTGTGTTCGAGGGATGATTCGGTCGGCGGCGAGAGATGGAAGAAAGTAATCGCGAGACGGCAGTGCCGCGAAAGCGGCTGAACGGGGAGAAATCGGGAGGAGGACGGAGGAACGTTGAGAGAAGTGTGCCAAAGTCGGCGGAGGTAGGAGATCCTCGATAGCTCACGTCGATAATCGCGCGCCGTTGAGACGCGCGGGCGGCGTTGTGTTCAATGTTTGTGCGGAAGAAGGACGCGATGATCTGCGGAACGCTCGCTCGATCGAGACGGCAGAATCGTAGGAGACCGAAGGTGAGTGAGTAGGATAGGACATTATTATGCGGGAGGGGGAAAGTGTGTGTATATACGCGGATGAATACTCGACGCGAGCTTAGAAAGAGAGAGAGCGAGAGGGGGGGGGATAAGACGAGCGACCGACGCGGTGCGGTTAAGGAAGAGAGACCGAGAGAGAAAGGAAGAGGGAGAGGGAGAGGGAGAGGCGCTCGCGCGGTGTCAGGACGGGGGCGTGCGCTCGATGGCCGCCTAGACCGCTCGAATCGGTCGCGCCCGGGGCGTGAGCCAGGCGCGTGAGATCGGGAATGAACGTGGGAGAGAGACAGAGAGAAGCGACACATTCGCCGCTGCTCGTCGCGGAGGGCTGCGTTCGCTATAAGCAGTTACTCTGGAACCGTTGCCTTGACGACACGCATCCACGCATGCGCGTGCGCAGCGCGGACGGTACGCGAGCGCAGTTCAAGAGTTGTGCCGTGCGCGCCAGTTTCATCCGTATCATCATCCTTTCCACCACCATCGATACCACCACCACCATCACCACCACCACCACCATCGATACCACCACTACCACCCTCGCCTTCTCGTAAGTCCTCTCTCTCTCTCTCTCTCTCTCTCTCTCTCTCTCTCTCTCTCGCTCCCCCCCTTTCTCTCTCTCCGCCCTCCTCCTCGCGCTCCTCCCTCTCTCTCTCTCTCTCTCTCTCTCTCTCTCTCTCTCGCTCCCACCCTTTCTCTCTCTCCGCCCTCATCCTCGTGGTCCTCCGTGGCGAGCACGCGCGCGCGTCAACGCGTTAACGGGAGTGCGCGCTGTCACCGTCGAGAAACGTCATTTCGCGGATCTTGTGGCGGTCGACCACGATCGGCGTATTCGATCGTTCGCGAACGCGCGCGCGCGCGCGCGTTTTATCCTTCCCGAATCCTGCTGGAATCGCCTTCCTCTCGTCTCGTATCTCGTGAAAATTTAATTACGTTGGAAAAACCGTACGTTCGAGATTTGTCGCGAGTGCCGGCTAAGCTGACGAAAGTGTTTTGTCGACAGGTGAAAGGGTTTCCTTTGGAAAGAAAAACAAAGAAAATTATCGAGGAAAATTATTAAAGGAAAAGGAAATTATAAAGGCCCCATCGATCGACGCGATGACGATTTCTTGCAGGAGGAACATTTTCCTCACGGAAGTATCTGATTATAATCGATCTTCCACTTGAACGTCGCACTGTGCCCGAACGGATCAAACTACATAGTTTCGAACTTATTCAATGTCTCCGTTTGGGAAACGCGTTCTCGTCGCGAGAACTCGTCTAGAGTATCGTCAGTGACTCGTGTTTTAATTTCGAAATCGGAGTCGAATGCTTCTCCCTGCTCGCTTTAGTGCTCCTCGACAGCGGCGCGTTGGCGGCGTCGGCGACGACGGCAACGACGACGACGTCGCCGATCGGAGTACTCTCTTTCTATCGAGAAAAAAATAACTTGGACTAATAGTGAGAACGCGTCTATTTTTTTACAGGACGCGATGCTCGCAACGACATTCGACGAGCACTCGGCAGCCTGGTGCGGGATAGTGTTTTGCGCACGGAATTCCTTGGATTCGACGCGCGGGACGTCAACGCGGTTCCGATGTACGTGATTTGTCGTGATCGCCGAGTATCATCGGATATCGCGAATCGAAGTGACATTAAGTGAAAGCCAGCCGTGCGCGAGATAATGATGTTCCGTTTTTTATCACGGTCCATCCGGAGAAAGGGCGGATCCAGAATTTAAAAAGGAAGAATCCGTCGACATTACCTCGAAAGCCAGTGGGAATTCTTAACGAATCATAGATTGGATGATACTTGGAAAATTAAACCCTCGGAGAACAACCGGAGATTCTTCTCTGCTCCTCCGCGGAAGATGGTTATAGTACCGCCGCGCTGTCGTCCTCTACCTCGATCGACCTGAAGAGAAGGACGAAAGATCTAAATAAATAATCGAAGAAGGAGGGATCCGAGGATCCGCGAATCGATCCTCTCAGCCGTCGGCCGGTGAATATCACGGCGCGAGCGGCAACGGTCGTGGGTTGGATGGTGCCGCGAGGATTAATCCTCGGCAGGACGACGACACGGGAGCCGGAGCCGGAGCCGGAGCCGGAGCCGGAGCCGGAACAGCTACGCTTTTACGACTCTCCGCCGCCACGGATGGACGCGAGCGTGTGCTGTCTGCCCGCCGGTGCCGCGGCCACCACGGGGGTTACGCAGCACCCTCATCCGGCGTCTCTACCCGGTTTACCGTCCGCCGTCGGCATCCAGCCGCCGACGATCCAGCCGTCCTACGCCGCTCAGTACGCCGCCGATCAGATAGTGCCCGATCGGGCCCAACCCGACGGACCCCTCGCGACGGTACTCGGATGCAACGCTCAGGACAGCTGGCAGCAGATCTCGTCGACGGCGTCCACCGGGATCACCGGAATCACCGGAGCCGTCACCGCCACTACCACCGCCTACATCGACTACTCGTGGCTTCAGATGCAGGTAAGCAATCGACTAGTCTTCGACTAGGAATTGTCGGAATTCTTAGAAGTCGATTATTCTTCTCATATTCGATTGTGATCATTTTAAATTTCTTGCAGTGAAATCTCATTCCAAGAGAGTGAAAACACAACCACCCTTGAAAACGAGTAAAAAATATTTCACTTCTTGTAAAAGAGTGACAATTTTTATTCTTTCCAGAGTGAAAGTCTCATTTCAAAGAAGTGAAAATCACTCTAAAAAGAGTAAAAATTGTCATTCTTTTTCAAGAAGTGAAGGGTGGTTGTATTTTCGCTTTCTTGGAGTAAGATTTCGCTGTAAGAAATTTAGAGCGATTGATTAATTTTCTACGACTTGTAGATCCCATATTACAATTTACTCTCCTCTTGTTAAGTCGTACTCTGCGATCGTACGAATAAACGTGACTCTCTTCTCTGCCCATCTCTGTCGACGTAGATTAGCTTCAATCTTGATTTTTAACTTATCTTTTATCTTCTGCTAGTTCTAAGAAAAAGATAAAGAATAAATTAAATTAAGATTGATATTAATCTCGCTACATTGGTGTAAAATAAACATCTGAAAGATATGTTCATCTCTTTGATACTGATATACAAAATTGCCATATTGTGCGAACGAAAACACACATGTTAAAATATAATCTTTATTAATTCGATAACGCGGATGTATAACATGTATGTATACTTAAGCTCATAATATGAAATAAATTTGAAAGTTTTGAAATCACATCATGCGCGGAATCGATCAAATAATTTAAAGCTGTTGACACATAAGTGAACAAATGAGAGTGAGTTTTCTCTTGTTGTTTTTAGAATTAAATAATGCATAGGAAGATAGGTCTGAGTCTCGATCAAAAGAAACCGAATGAATCCATTAGTAGCAATTAGTAGTTTAGTCGGGAAAATTACAATAGAGTCTATTTATGCCATGACTTTTGTATTCCTGGCACAAATCGAATCTTCAGTTAATTAATCGTAACTTAATTTGGTATGCGACATCCATGACGCAAATGTTGATTTAATTTAAGCAGTAATACCTATCGAATGCTTGCTTAATAAGTGACTTGAGAGAGCCGTTTCAATCGCTTTTCGATAAATTTTTTACAATAAATGTAAATATCTACGCGATCGCGTAGTCACGTGTCACTTAGCCGACTAAGACAGTTTTTAATCGTAAATCTGAGATTATAGGTTTTCAACTAGGCGTAATAATGTTACAGCTGTTAATTTTTCCCCGGATATATTGATTATCGGGTACGCCTTGGAAAAAAAACAAAAAAAAAACAAAAAAAAAAACTCAGTAGGACTAATCCGTTCGGAATCGATACTTAACTCTGCTCATTACATTTGAAATTTAACTCAAGTACCATGATTAATGCGATTTGCTTTTATTCCTATCCGTTATCGATTTCCCATTAGCGCGTCGGTGTGATTTACATCGGCGATATATCGAGTGGTAGATAGTGGATCTCGGAAAAATGATGATTATTTACGTTCTTAATCATTCGTCAATCGCACGACTCGTTTCGGCTCGGCGCGACTCGACTCGGCGCGCAACACTCCACGATAATGTATCAATTCCCGGGAAGCGCTACATCGTAAAATAATAGAGCGGAGTAATAATACCCATTACTATTATCTCGGTACGAGTGAGTACTATATGTTCTTCCCTTATAGACGTAGCGGCGTCTCCGCCACGTAAAGCCACGCTGTTGACAGGGTAAATATCCTTTGATACCGCGCCGTCCGTCTGGCACACGCGTCGTACGCCTCTCTTCTACCTTACGAAGGAAGTTATCTATGTGGCACACGTGTGCGTGCGTGCGTGCGTGCGTGCGTGCGATCTCTCACGCCACGAACGAGAGCGTGTACTTTTCACATTACGAAGGCCGTTTCGCTTGTCGTTAAGGCTTCAGGATTTTCGTAAAGACCGCTATTTCGTTAATGAATCTGTTGGCCGTATATATAGGGTGTTTCAAAAGCACGCCAGTATATATGATTGTTCTGATTGCAGTTTCTTTTTTGGCAAGTTTCTTTTTAGAGGCAATTTTTTTTTCAATGAAAATATTAAGGAACGTCTTTCTTTATTATTTTTCCACTTCTTAATCATTTATATCTATTGAATAATAACGAAAAAGATATCCATTTGGAAAGACAATTTGAAAAAACGCAGTATATGTTCTTATCGTCTCGATGCAATTTGCGAAAGCGCGTTGGTATCGAATTTGTTCTCGCGATATTAGTTCTTGTAAAATATCTCAAAAGAAACCGAGATATATTGTGCCTCCTGTATTGCGGCTCTTCTCATTTTTTTTTCATACGTAAATGATTTTACGTGAATTATAAATTGATTACTTGAGATCGAAATCGATCAATCGAGTATGGAAAGTTTTCTGCTCGCGATGTTATCAAAAGAGAAAAGGCACGCGCGACGTTTCAGTCTCTTTGCCGAGACGAAAAGCCGGTCTACGAATTTTGCACAACGAGCACCTATTTACTTCAATAGGAAACCGGTTTTTTGATACCGTTATCGATTCCTGAATACCGTGTTTTGACATATATAACCATGATTCGTCGTCAAATATCGATAGTGTTTGAAACTTAAAGAGAGAAGAAACTTAGAGAGAGAGAAACGACATTACAACACGCGAAACAGACACATAACGAAACTTTTTTTTATTTACGAAAGACGTTGGTACTTCCGAGTACCATAAAATCATGCGAAAGAAAGTATTACATTTCCTCTCGAAACTGTGAATTCAAGTCTAAAGGAATCAATTTTATCTGAGTGGATGGAATATTTGATAATTCATCTAAAACTTTACTTCTGTCCTGGACTTTTTTATCGCATAATGTAATTATAATTTTTTATGTATGCAATACATTATTTCAGTATTTTTTTACAATAAAAAAGGTTGGTTGATTTTTTTCCGAAAAATAAGGATATGCAACATTATTAAATAATTAATTAAATAATATATTATATAACTAAATAATATAATTAACCAAATTATTAGGTGTTGGAATTAATTCGTAGCGTTTTACAAGTGATGGGAAGTACTTTCATTAATGTATTTTTTAATGCTCATGTGAAATAAATAACATTCTTTCATTAAAAAACGCTACGAATTAATTCCAACACCTAATACATTTGGAAGATCTGAGATTAGGATTAAAAAATATTATTTATTACGAATGTTGTGAATATTACACGGAAAGAAGTTTCGTTGAAGCATCTAAAAATTTAGCCAGAATAGAGATCTGAAAATAATTTTATTGGACTATCAAAACAATTGTGTAGAATGCTCAAGTTTATTATTAGAATGTTATAACTTTTTGCAGCATTGCAATGCGGCAAAAAGTCGACATTTTAATCCTACTTTGAATCTCTTTCAACTTTAATTAAATCTTATAAATTTGTTTTGATATTTGAACAATCAAATAGGATCTTTTAATATTACTTAATTTACAGCTTTTATTATATATAAAATTTCTTTTGAACCTAAATATAGGAAATTTTGCAATAATTGCCATTTACAGGCTCAACGTAGGAATTCAATTCATTAAATTAGAATCTATTATAAATCTCTAGAATCTACATACATCCTAATTATAAATCTTTAGAGTCTACATACATCCTAAAATTATTTTCAAAATAGGAGCAAAATTTCGACTGTGCTGTTTATACTTCAATTTCCCACATTAATTATATTGATGATTGAACACAATTATCTTCAGATTTTTCTATTCTCGGAAACTTTTAGAATTTCCAAAAATTGAACCACTCTTTTTCAAGATTGGCTCTCAATTTTCACTTTTCTTTAGAGTGAGATTTTTACTCCAAAGAATTTAGAGAGTATTTAAATTTTCAGATACTTCAGCAAAATTGTTCTTCCTAGTGTATATTCTGAATATGGTATATCCCACAGCATTTGCGTTTGTCATATTCATACATTCGTATATTCTCGCTTAGGTTTTTCTTACAGTTTTCAATAATAATGTTCTTCAACATGAGAAATTCAGCTCGATATACATAAATATTTCGGTCTCACGCCGTCGTCGGCAGGCGGGAACGGTCGACTAAATCGCGACCGGTAATTAGCCGATACCCCCGACGCAATCTAAACGCATTGTGACGCGTGTAAGATAATAAGCGGACGGAAATCCACGATTATTGTGCTGCTCGAGCCAGAAAGGACATCCCAACCACCACCGGACGAACCATTTCCACGGTTCACCGCCCTTCGTTTCAAAACTGCGTACGATTACCGTTCCACCGCCGATTATTTCACTCGCTGTACAAATACAAACAGAGGAGGCGGGGAGGAAAGGCAGAAGCGTGATTAACATCGAGCGGAGATGATGACCTAACCGAAAATGCGATGCTAATATTGTTCGTGTCGCTTCGCTTATTTCTACCGGCTGCCGGCAAATTCTTTATCTTATAATGAGACGTTGTGACTCGCAAGGATTGCTTTATTACAATCTTTTCGCATTACAGATATGCTACGTCCGGATATATTGCTTCATAATAAAATTATTACTTGCACGACTTTCGTATTAGTTCTATCGCTAAGTTTCTTTCAGAGTGAAATCTCACTCCGAAAGAATGAAAATTCTGCTACTCTTGAAAAAAGGTAGGAAAATTTGCATTTTTCGAAGAGAAATTCACTCTGTTGCAGTGAGATTCACTTCAAAGAATTTAGAGAGTACGTTCTCAACGTTTTTTACAAACTGTTTTTTGCATTTCGATAAAAATTTTTTTTACTCGCGACAGGAATGTAGAACAGAACGACAGAAGACGACAGTTCAGATCGACACGAACGTAAAGAGTTAGGTTGTACCGATGTAATTGACCCTTTCCCGATGTTTTCTATGATTCCGAAGAACTCTTCGACCCGTCGTCATATTATCCAGCCTGTAGTCAGTGACTCACGTCGAATCGCGAACGTTGTGGGCGTGCAGTTACTTACGTTCTATACTTGC